TTATAGCAAACTTTTGAAGGAAGAAACTCTATTACTATAAAAACACTACTAAATTAGTTACACCAACGTTTTTAAATACACCAATAAAACATGCCACGTAGACAAAGCTAAAACAAGCTAACAAAACAAAATCTCAAATGCTAAACACATATTCTAGAACAACAACCTCATAAGCTTAAGCTTCTAAGTCAGAACCTTGCTTTTGAGTATGAGTTACTTCTAAAATAATCTATGATCACGAGAGTCATGATTACAAAATTTAAAAACTTAAAATAAAATAAAAAAATTATTTAAATATATCTCTTTTACTAACATTACATTTTTTTTATAAAATAAACTATATAAAATAACAAATAGTTTTATATATGAATTTGAAAAAATATATTTATTAAGGATATAATGGTTATTTAGACGAGGCGAGAGATATAATTGTTATCTATATTAATTAAAAAACTATTTAATTTAAATTAATTGAATAATAAAAATATTTAATCTAATAATATTTAAAAAGTAAAGAAATAGAAAGTATATATCTATGATAATTGATACAGTAATAAATAATAAAATGTTGTAAAGTTCCACTTAGCGATTTTTTTTGCAATAAGCAGGTATTAAAAAAATTCACAAATAACCATGTTGCGGAGAAAATTATACAAATAACCATGTTTCAGAAAACCCCACAAGGGAGGAGTCAAGTGAGGTGGCGTATGCATTGGCCCATTTTTCCTAGGCGTCATCTCCCTTGGCGCATGCACTCTATTTTAGTCAAGTGAGATGGTGCATGCACTCTAAAAGTGAGAGGAGGCGCCATCTCACTTGGCTCCTAGGGCAAAATGCATTTTTTATAAATAATTCCTCCGTTTCTCCATCATTCTTTCACACTTTCTTGCACTGTCTTCTTATTTTTTGCTATGTTATTTGCGTCATGACATCGCCCGTGATTTTTACCAGAGATGGTTACGTTATTTTCTCGGCCACCAAACTTCCGATGAAAATGAAATTTTGGCACATTCACTCTATGAGGCGTCTGAAGAGAGAGTTGATGTGATAGCTAGAGGGAGACATCGAGGACGGGGAACAAATTAGAAGGATCCAGAGAAGAAGAATAGCCACCCCACTTGCAACATGAAGACCTAATTTTTGGTTGGAGGAAGTCAAAATAGACAGCGACGTAATGTTGATGATGCATAGGTCAGATGATATTATTTTAACGGTTGTAATTTCGTAGACAATTTATCGTGTTTTATTTGTTGTTCGCGTAAGGTTTTTTGTAACAAATGCTCTTAATGAAAAACCGTAATGTTTATAACATAAAAAAGTAAAGATGTTATGTAATACAATTTTTATGTGGTTGAGCTAGTAGCCCGAGTCGGACAATTTTTGCGATTGTGTCTGTTCTGACGATATAAGCCACACTTTCTTTCCAACTTATCAAGGGAGTCCATTTCAGTTGTGATGTGCTTGATTTTGGGATGACCCTTTTTATTCCTTCGCATTTGGTCATTGTGCAATACTATTTTGCCGTCGTATGCAGGCCAATAATCAGGTTTTGCTACCAAAGGGAAGCTGTTGTTGTATACGTTGAGCAAGGTTTCAGACTTATAAATGGGAGAAAAAAGTTATAATGTGGCTTGATGAGTATAGGCACGCGCAGCAATTACATGAGAGCAAGTCATACGAAAGGCTTGAAACTTTCCACAATCGCACTAACGAGAAGGTAGTATAACCCTATACTCTTGTCTTGGCAGCCCCTCGTTGTGGTCGATTGTCACTTTGACAATGAAGTTGTGGCTGTGTCGGTAGAACCGTATAACCAGATGGGTGTTTGCTTTGGCACTTTCTGCCTTAATATACTTCATGCAGCTTTCACTCCATAGTTGTCCCGATTGCAACACAGCATTCCACATTTCACCTCTTTTGGCAAACAACGAAGCCATCCTAAAATATGTTGATTTAACCAAAGCAGTTACTGGGAGGTTTCATATGCCTTTGAATACCCCGTTCATGGATACAATCAGATTTGTTGTCATGTGGCTCCATCGTTGTCCATTATCGTATGACCTAGTCCATTTCTCAACCGAAATGTTATCGATCCACCTACCGGCGTCCGGATTTGACAATCAGATTTACTTATCATGCATGCATGCACCCACCAACCACCTCACTTACTTTGTGATAAAATTTTGCCTATAAATACAGATCCTCACATACTTCTATTACATCCACAATCATCTCACTCTCTGCTACAAACTCTTTCATAATCTCAGACAATTTCAACAATGACTCTTCTCACAATGGCTGATTCTCACAGAGGCGCAAGGGATAACATTGCAGTGTTTGTAAGTTTCTTGTATACTTATACATTTTTCATGCTTCTATTAATGCTTTATACATCTTATGGACTCTTACACTTTTTATATTCTTAACTTAAGATATTAAAAGATTCAGAATTCGATCACACAACTACCTTGCTCCCGACCCGTTGATCATACCCTATCTTGAATATGCAGGTTTTGGAAATATTATAAAGATCTCCAACTGCACGATTGATTCAAAGTTCATACTTGCAATGTTGGAAAGGTGGAGACCAGAGACCCACACATTTCGTCTACCAATAGGTGAATGTACCGTCACACTAGAGGATGTGTACATGTTATTGGGTCTCCCTATCGATGGTAAGGCGGTTAATGGTTCGGTTCAACAGCCCATTTCTCTGTGCGAAGAATTATTAAGCAGGGATATGGTTGAAAGTGGTGGTGCGAGAGGCTGGGGTACACTACTTACTGAGCTCAAAAATCATTATGCGACTCTGGAATTGAACTAAAATTCCTCCGAGCTAGCTAAGGTAATAAAAGCTAGAAATTATATAATGATACTTTTTGGAACCTTTTTATTTCCCGAAAGTACGGGGAATAGTGTAAATTTCATGTATTTAAATTTACTTAGAGACTTTGAAAAAACTAGAAAGTATAGTTGGGGTTCTGCTGTTTTAGCCCATCTATACAGTTCCTTGTGTAAAAATGCAATCAAGGAAAAATGTACCTTTTATGGCTGCGTTTTTTTACTTCAAGCCTGGGGTTGGTGGTGGAGAATGGAGTCCCTAAACCCCGTTAACAACAACACATTCATTTTCCCATACGCAACAAAGTAAGTCAATAAATTATATCATTTATTATTATTCATCTCTTCACCAAATATATGATAAAAATAAAATATTTTTCAATTCCTTTAGGTACTGCGTGAGGGGTATGGATTACGGCAAGAATCTAAGATTCAATGTCACTCTATATCGCAATCTATTGGATCACCTTGGCCCGGATGATGTACGTTATACCTTTCAACTTTTCTACTTTTAAATTATTTATTTATTACGTTTTCATTAAGCTGATTTAATTTTATCCGCAGTTTGTCTGGAGACCATATTTGGGTTTGGACCATGAACCAAACTCCAAGGATACAGCAATTTGGAGCATAAAGACTGCAATCATACGGTTCAATATTGTGGAGATACACCACAGCGACCTTGTCAAGGTGCAGTTTGGAATGCATCAAGAGATATCCTGCGATCCAACTTGTTTGTCCCTGTGGCATCTCAAAAGGGTCGACGCCCAATGGGGTCTTACCAACTGGAAATATTTTTCTCCAGAATGGTGTAAGATGTGGTAGAGGCGTCACCGACATGTCTTGCAATTTCCAATTTTCCTCAACCATGGTAATATGCGACACACTGATCAATATTTAGCTTGGTACAGATCGGTTAGTACCCCAGAAATGCACACGTCTCATCCAAGGTATTTGGTTGACCCACGAATACAATGGGTACAACCCTCATTTCCCCAACAACAAACCCAACACACATCAACCTCCCACCAACCTCCCTGACGAAACAGAACCACAAATACCCAACCACAATCACCACCACAATACGATTACACCCATATTCCCCATAACCAACCACAATCACCACCTCAATACCAATACCCCCATATTCCCCACACCCAACCACAATTTCAATCAGAATACCAATACACCCGCATGCCCCACACACAATTTCAGTCTTCTACATATCTCAATATGGGCCGCTCAACGTCTAGCCTTAGCTCTGATCTGGGATTTTCAAAAGATTATGAACCAACCGACCCAACTTACCATCAACCACCACATCACCAAAGCACCCAACATTCCCAATACCAAACACCCCAGGATTAATTTCCTTTCTACCCCTCGTACTCAGACGACCAGTGCTATAGACCAACCATGGAACCCCACCCACCACCAACACGACCAAACTTTGAGGGTATAGATAACCGACTGTACCAAAGCGGATCTTCTAGATATGGAGATCTGAGTGATTTCATGGATCCGGAACGCATTGACTTCGCTGGGCCATCGACCCTGCCACAACAGGAAACACGACGAAACCCACCACGGGAAAGGCGAGAATATGAATGCGGAACCGCGAGTCGTTACCGGGTTCCAGAGGACCCCTGATTATTTTGTATCATTTTATGTAATCATTTGTGTAATCATATTGTGTAAATAAAAAGTTAAATTTTCGCGATCCTATATCGTTTACGTAACGTACCGCATTTAATATAAAAAACGCGAAAAATTGCCTCTCCATTGCACTAAGGTGCCATCTCACTTGGCTTAGGACACAAATTTAACACCTAGGCGCCAAGTGAGATGGTGCCTCCCCTTTAAAATAAGGTGTAGGCGCCAATTGAGATGGCTCCTCCCTTGTAGGGTTTTCTAAAACATGGTTATTTGTGTAATTTTCTCTGAAATATGGTTATTTGCGGAAAAAAATTTCAATATTTGATTATTGCAAAAAAAAAAATTCCCACTTAGCCAGTTGAATCGGTAGAGCTTTCAGCTATTAGACTATTAGATCCACACAAAAAAGAATTGTAAATTTTTTATATTTATTCATTGTTTTATATATGTGAAACAAATTACACTTATTTCAAAACAGAAAAAAATGGTGGAGACTTATCTAGCTAGTTACAAGGTTCGTTGGCAATGCCAACCTTATTGTTAACTGTATCAAACAAAATCCTCAAATTTTGTTGTTGATAATTAGCAATCACATTCAACACAGAGTTCACATTCTTCGGTGCAGCCGCCATTGCAAGACATGCCAACGGCTCTGAAGTACTATGAATTAAACTATTCTCCATTGGCAACTTCAGATCCAAGTTCTGGAAATGAAACGTAATAGCAGGTGTTATTGTTTCAGATGTTTCCGCAAAACATGTATCGTATGCTCCTAAGCTAGAAAATGGTCCTTTCACTTGTTTCCTAAACTCATCCCTTGTCGCATTGTAAACAGGCTCCACAAAGCGGGTTATAACCGTACCTGAATCGATTATTGATCCAGCTCCTGTTTTCGGGTCAAATGCTAGAAAATTATTGGGTATAGGGACATTCACACTACCCACACTAATTCCAGTTAAATTGACATAGTAAAGAGATGGACGACTAGGATTGCGCAGAAGAGGTGTTGTTCGAATGCTTTTGGGTTGATTCACTGGTCCGAGTTTCAGTGAACCAGAAAAAAAGTGAGATTTAAAACTGGGTAGACAATAAGAAAACACACCGGAGTAAGTTGACATTGTCTGAGATGATAAAGACAATGGGCCTCGGCCCAAGCCCAATAGCCCTTGAGCTGGAATTGAAGCACCGGATATAGCATTAATGCTTCCAAATGAGAATTTAGGAATAATAACATTTGCATCTAATGTAAGTGAATCTTGAGCGAGTGTAGCTGAGAAAGAAGAATCCGCGTAAGATTGATTGAAGGAACACACATTAGAGCCTATGGGTGAGCATGAACGCCCACGGGCTTGACCACATTGTGGAGCAGAACACGTCAATGGGACGTAACTGGTTGAGGATTTTGGAGAGAATTTTGTTGCAGAGCAACCGGTGCATCCTAAAGAAGGGACAAAAGCCTCATCTGAACTTGTGTCAAGAACCATGAAAAGGAGTTGACCAGGTGTTCCAATTTTTACACGGACAACATAATTGTTGATGTTGAAAGTTTGGCCCGAAGCAATTGATGCTGAAGCGGGAGAGGCGGAATTTTTGGCTACTAATGTGGATAGGTAGTTGATTCGATTTACATCGTTGGAGGCCATGTTTATGACTCTGTCATTCCATGAATTTGTTTTTGGTGGGTTGATTGGTGACTCATCTTGTTGAGATGCACATGGATCAATGGAGTTGCTCTTGTATATGTGAATTACATAGCAAAATATTAAGGCTATGGCCAATTTAGTTTTCATGGCTGATTTAATTTCAAGAGAAAGATAGAAATGAAGATTTGAAGTTGCTAAGATAGTTTGCATAGATTGGAGAGCTTTAGGCTCATATATATACGCCTGAGAACATGGATGATTATTCACTTGAGATAAATAAATATGTGATATATTTTAATAAGAAATTGCTTTTATTACATAAAGTATGACTTTTTATTCTTTCATAATTTTTATATTATTTTGAGTCAAAGATTATTTCAAAGTCAATTTTTTTTAAATGTTTCAATTAAAAAACAATAAAATAAAAAATTTAAAAATTTAATAATGTAAAAGCATAATTTCTATATTTAATTCAACTTATTCCTTAAGATTACAAGGCACAAATTAGCATATTTCAAAAAAAAATATTAAATGATTAATTTGTTTTCAACATAAAATAATAATTGAATATTTTATAATTTTATATTAATAGAGTGGTGGTTGGTGAGATCACTTAAAATTTCATTATTATATTACGAAGATCGTTAGAGAATCAATCGTTACTACCGCACGTTATAATTTAAAAATTACGGATCATTATTGAAGGATATTCAAAGCTCCACCATATACTACCATTGATCAACTACACTAATTCATAAATATTTAATTAAATATTAATAAGATTTTTAAAATATACTTTAATTGTGTAACAAAAAAAAATCCTATTTTAGATTTAATATAAAAATTATGACTTTACCTAATGCATCCATTTACTAATCAAAAGAATAATAAAACTTATAAATATGAAATAAAAACTATTTAAAAAATACTAGTTGAAATATATATTTATCAATATAAAAATAAGATATACTTTGAACATGTAATAAAAAATTTATTTTAGAATTAATATAAAAAAAAATTATTTCACCTAATATGCATTGATATAAAAAATCTATATGCATTGAACTAAAGTAATATTTTAAATAAATCGTTTATAAAAATGATTATATCTATAATAGTCTTTTTCGTTTATAAAATTAAATGTATTAATAATTAAAAAAAATCTTATTTATAAAAATATTTGTATTAATAATAAATTTTTTCCATTTATAAAAATATAGGTATCAACAATAGTCTTTTTCTTGTTTATATGTATCAAGAATATATTTATTTTTGTTTATAAAAATACTTATCAACAATAGTCTTTTTCTTATTTATAAAAATATTTATAACAAATGATATATTTATTCTCATTTAAAAAATTAATTCTATAGATAATAAATTTTTCTCATTTATTAAAATATTAGTAATAAATAATATAATTCTTTTCGTTTATAAAAATAACTCTATCAACATTAAAAAAATTTCGACAATTAAGAATTCCAACAAAAAGAAATTAGCTGCAATAGTTTATTTTAAGAATAACCTCATAGTAAAGTGTACTTCTTATTTATTTAAACTAGTATAATACTCTACCAAATATTTGAGTTTGAGTGGGAAATAAATTTTCATTAAGGACGAATCGTTTGCATCCGAGTGACATATTCTTATTTATATTTAGATTTTAATCTATTTGTGAAATTATTATATCAATAATATAATCTATCTAATATTTAATTATGTAAAGATTATTTTAATAGTATAAATTTCAATTAGTAACATAAATTATAACATAATTACATTAATTATAGCTCACTTTTCTATATATTTTCTTGTCATGATATATATTACACAAAATATTATAATATTGTTTTAATCATTAATTAATGACATGCATTAATGTAATAATATTTTGAATTGTATATCGTAAAATTAGTGATAAGTGAAACACATTTTTGTTTCTGGTTCAATGATACACATCTTTATGTATATTATTTTGGACAAAACTTAATCACAATTGTTTTAGTGTGATTTTTATTATTTTTTAATAAAAAATTTGATCAACATATTTAAATATTATTTAAGGAGTAAAAATATGAACAATTTATATATGTATAAGAGAAAATTATATATTCATGATGTCTTCATTATAAAGTATTAAGAACAACACCTAATAAATTGTACTTAAATTTTATCCTATTATTTTAAAAAAATATTATATTTTAAATTAAATACAATTTCAAAAGAAAACTTTTAATAACATAAATAAATAAATAAACAATATTTTTTTGTGGGTTTGAATTCACACATTATTTTAAGTATATTACATAAATAAAAATGTAATAATGATTATTTGCCATATTTAAAACTAAACTTTAATTCCTAAGTTTGTATCCATCATTTTTAAAACTATTGTATAGAATATTTATTTTATACTAAACTTTAATTCTTTAATTTATATGCTTCTTATTTTTTTAAACAAAATCATACATATTAAAATTAATTACGCACCTTTAAAACTACTTTTGGTATTTTTATGAGGTGAGAAATAATTAAAAAAATATATATTTGCAAATGCACCCATTTATTATTTTGTAAAAATTAGTAAGATAGCTATTTGTATCATGTATTCTTTTATATTATTATTATGTAAAAAAATATATGTTTTATTATGTTTTTTTATGTAACGATATCAAATAGTCATACCATTAAATAAAAAAAATGTGAGTAAATTACATTTAAAATGCATGATTTTGTTTTCAAAAAAAATATACAGTTTTTTGTCGGTTGGATAATAAATAATAAATATACTGATAAATTTTCAACACAACGATGGAACAAAACATAACAATATATTACTGATACAAGTAAATAGCCATGTCATTCTACAACTAAATAGCACTGCCAAGTTTAGTTTCTTAAAAAAAGAAAATATTATATCCTTAAAAATTAATTTTCAGGTTCTTATATCAAAGAAACAAATATTTACCTAGTTCATGTAACAAAGAAGAAAATATTTTAGACTCGTTTATTTTTGTTTTAATTTTACCCCTAAAAATTTCATACGGAGCACAATTTTTTTTTCATTCAATATATGGTATAAACATTTTTTTTACATTCAAGTGGCAGTTTAAGAAAAAATTAAGAAATATTTATCTTAATATACATTAATTTGGTAATTATAATATAACAATATTGATTTTCAAGTTTCAAACATTAAGATCATCATATATAATAAATTATAATAATATGCACCCTGTAACAATATTGAATGATAATTATTATAAATATTATAACATTCACTCACCTTTAGTTGGTAAATATACCATAAAAAAAGTTAATAGTAGCAAATATAAAATATGAACTCAACTTAATAATGAAAGGAAGGGATCATGGTGAGATTTTCATATTAATATAAAAAATGTATAAAATTTGATTCTATCATCATTTATATCATTTGGAGGGTAGATGTAAATCATTTGAAAAATGTGAAATCAAAGAGTTTTTTAAAATAATATTCTTTGTTGATTTCTGTTTTAGATTGGGTCCGCCTTGGCCTAAAGTGCAGATAAAGGTCTAAATTCAAACAATTCTTCGGGAAATATTCACAAACGGACCATCACCGAACGTGCCCGACCACAGACTGCAACTGCTATGTTCGTCGTTGCCCTCGATGAGCAACGTCCCTGATCAAGGAAACTGGACTCGAGCACCCTCCTCGTAGGACAGATTCGGTCCACTCTAACCGTTATGGAATCCTCAAAGCTCCGGAAAGACCGCGTCTCCGTCCTTCCTCATTCTTCGCAGAGCACCACCAGGAAGGGGACCACGTGCGGGTCTCCACTACGCATGTAGAACCTAGTAGTTCCTTTATTGGGCCAGTTCTGGTCAGCTCAATGAGGGAACCTTGGCCCAGCGCTGGGGGCTATAAATACCCTCTGTTTCAAGAGGGTCAGGTATTCATCTATTAAACACCTATACATTTTTTGCCTGCCCATTTCGTCTCTCATTTTAGCATCAGAGTGTCTTGCAGGTACCCCCCCTCCCCCTCTCACTCAAACCAGTTCGAGCCAGCTGTGACGGTCCAAGTCTGATCCGGTAAGATCAGTGGCGCTGTCTGTGGGAACCTAGCTTCCCCGTCTTACAAACCCTCAAAGACCAAAGCTGAAAATCACCTTCTACCGTCATGGCTGACCAAATTCGGGATGACCAGAACGTCCGCGTCGTCGATGCCAACAACAACCTCGCGGACAAGAATGGAGCCCCCGACAACGCCGACAACACCGGCCATAATACACTCCCCAGGGGCGTCATCCCCGGGCCCTTAGGCAACCGGGACGGAGCTACGGCCTCATCTTCTTCAGTCCCCCCTCCACTCAAAGAAGACAATACGGCTCCCCCAAACTATCTAGCTACCCCATTTCAGGAGGTCCCTGTCCCCGCTCGGGCAGATGCCACGACCGAGCGCTGTTCGCGGTAATCAATCAAACCAACTACCTCATCTTTGCCCAGGGGGAAAGGTTGAGGGCGCTAGAGGACGACAGAAGACCCCTGAGGAGACACATGAGGCTTCAGACCCCGCCTCCTCGAGTAACAGAGGTACGTCTCTCGTCTCCCCCGCGGAGATAATATAGAGACACCTCCCGAAGCCCGTCACCCCGACAATCGGGGAGACAACTCCCCTTGGAGAGGCAACCCATCATTGAAGCCGGAGGGCGCAACCACGGCCTCTTACGGCAAGAAAGAAGACACCCTGGAGACAGGCACGGGAGGGCGGACCAACGAGCGCCCCGCTCGAGGGACATCCAGCACGATCAGGACCGTCGTGCCTGACAATACCTCAGGTCCCCGTCCCTTTCCCCAGAACAAAGTGATGAGGACGACCCCCGCGGTCCCTTATCACAAGCCATCATGGAGGCTCCAATCCCCCCGGGCATGGAAAAGCCCCCTCACCTGAAGGAATACGACGGAGTTGCCGACCCAGTCGATCATATAGACGGGTTCAAAGCTATGCTGCACTACCATAATGTTGGGGGACCCATCAAATGCCAGTTGTTCCCCACAACCCTCAGGAAAGCAGCAATGGATTGGTATAAGGGTCTTGCCCCGGGGTCAATCACCTCGTGGAGAAACTTGAAAAACCAATTCATAAGCTCGTTCACCGCATC